GTGTTGGATGCCAGAAAGACTTTTTGTGCAGCAATTTTGCTTTTGTTTTATTATTATCAGCTTCTCTTGATTATTTTTTTAAAAAATAAAAAAGAATGAGTAATAGTTGGTACAAGGGATAAGTATATAATTTTAGTACATAAGAACCAATTTAATTTCAAATACTTAAATTAATTAGGCATATACATCAAATAGATTTAATGAATACTCTTAAAGCTGTGAAAGCTATGAATTTTGCCAAAGTTTCTTAAAACTGAAAAAAATAGCTGATACCTTTGGCATATGGTGTAACAAAAGAAAGCAAAAGAACTGCAGTTACTATAGCCTCTGATCATTACTGATTATAATTAGGAAATGTAGAAGTGATGAATAAACATTATTTTGGTATTAGATACATTTCAAAAGTTGATGCTGTCTGAATTTTTCTCAGAATTTAAATAGCCCATCTTAACAGTTAACAATCATCATAAAAAGTCCTAAATTTTAGAAGACTTCTCCATGAAGTATAGAGATAGTCCTCAACTTAATATAGAGATAGTCCTCAACTTACAACCATTCATTTAGTGACTGTTCAAAGTTATAACAACTTTGAAAAGAGTGACTTATGACCATTTTTCACATTTACGACTGTCACAGAATCCCTACGGCAGGGGTGAAATGCTACCGGTTTGGACCGGTTCGGCCAAATTGGTAGCGGCAGAGTGTGGTTCAGAGAACCGGTAGCAGCAGCAGCACGAGGCTCCGCCAACCTCTGCCCACCTGCCTGGACATCGTTACTTCCTGGTTTTACCCAGGAAGTAACCTGTTTTTGACCCTCTGTGCATGCGCAGAAGGCTTTGCGCATGTGCAGAAGGTCCAAGCACACTTCTGAACCAGTAGGGAAGGTAAGTAGATTTCACCCTGTGGTCACTTGATCAAAATTCAGATGCTTGGCAACTGGTTCACATTTATGACAATCTCAGTGTCCCATGGCCATATGATCACCTTTTGTGACCTTCTGCAAAGCAAGGTCAATGGGGAAGCCAGATTCACTTAACAACCATGTTACTAATTTACCAACTGCAGTGATTCACTTAACATCTGTGGAAGAAAAGTTGTAAAATGGAACAAAACTGACTGAACACCTGTCTTGTTTAGCAACAGAAATCTTGGTCTCAATTGTGATCATAAGTCGAGGATTAACTGTATTTTTAACTATTTAAAATTGTTGATATGTTTTCCAAACAAAATTAATACAGTCTGACAATTAATCATGAATGAAGATGTTGATTTTCATGATTTTAATTGAGATCACATGATCTCAGTCAGAAGGACAGATATATTGAATGATGTTGAGAAACTGGTGCATTGTGGCATTTTTGTCTTAATGAATGATTTGATTTTGTTTCCTGGCTGTAATAGACATGGCTACTTTAAACCAGAGGAACAAAATATATTGCAATTGTCATCAATGTTGCTGTTGAATTATTTCCAAAGAGGATTTTATTGCAGTTTCATGAATGAATGTAACTTTATTATAATTTGACTACATAATTACATTTCATCATATTAAACTAATAAGTGGGGAAAATAAATAGAAGAATTGGAAATGCAATGATTATATAAATGTTGACATTGGGTTTTTTGGTAGAGATACTTCAAGTAACGGGAATACTGGGAGACAATTTGAAAAATGAAGCAAGCGATATCCCTAAATAATAAGAATAAATAAACAGCTGTTAGTCCACCAGTGGACAATGAGATGCTTAGGCTAAATCCATAAGCAAAATACAATGAAAGATTATTTTCTACTTCATTCCTCAGCAGCAAATAATATCTAGAGGCATATGACAGAGGTAGTATATAGTCATCATATGTTTCATGGTTAATTGTCACAAATTAATGATCAATATATCCTTACTTTATTATATTAGGATTTTTACGTAGAAACATGAGAAGGGAAGACAATTTCAATTCTTGATTTTCTTACTGCAAATTTTATAAAACACCAGATTAACCAAACAGTATATGTTCTTTAACTTGTCAAAGTTATAAAAATAGTTTAAGGGAGAATGTAGAAGGCAGAAAAAATAGTTTAGAATGTGATATATATTTATTATTTCTTGTAGTTTAAATATATGTCATACATATTTTATTTAGAATTTAGCTTTTTGGTGTAATAATGCTAACTCACACTTATTCTGAGTTTAAAAATGTTTAATGGCAATGGAAGTAGAGCCTCAATGGTTATGGAAAACATAATTTATATCCTTTTTCTGTTCTTTTAATGATATAGAATTTTCTGTAATGGTTTGTCCAATTGCAGACCCTTAGCTTCAACTTCTTCTTAAGCTGCTGCTTTCTATCTTACATTGTTCTATCTTACATTATTGATTATAAGAATGGCTGAGATAATGTACATGAAATATTTTAGAATGTTCTAAAGAAGTACCTCTATATCCAAGAGACCATGAGTTCTAGTCCCACCTTAGTTGTGAAAGCTGGCTGGCTGACTTTGGGCCAGTTACTCTCTCTTAGCCCAACTCATCTCACAGAGTTGTTTGTTGTAGGGAAAATAGGAGGAGGGAAAATTAAAAATAAAAATAAAACAAAATATTATTATGCGTATGTAGGCCAAGCAAAGATAATCAGGACAGGTGAAGAACAGTTTTGAAATATCAACTATGGAATGCAGAAATGTATTACAGATTCCAATGAAAACATGATAAAAATAGGCCAAGGAATTTTAAAGGCAGTATTACTCAGAGTGAATATAAATGTGAGAAAGTCTTTGAATGTAAAAATGCAAGACTGATACTGTCTCCTTTTTTTAAATACCTCAAACTTCATCTTGTTCATATTGCCTGCGATGCAGTCTCATAATCAAAGCTTTCATAGGCGAATAGCAAACTATGCCAATACAATGCTATAAAAGAATATAAGTTATGACCTTGCAATGATAGGGCATTTTCAAAGTTGAGCTGCTTGTTGCTATGGAAGCAAAGAATGATGTTCTCGGGTCTTCTGCTATTTTCTGTAATATATACTGGAAACCTGTGTGTCATTTAATCTTAACATTTTTTAGACCTATTCCATTCTTGTGAACATCCCTTTTCAGGCACACAATAGCTTTGGCAGCTTTTCAGTAGACCATTTCATAGGGGATGATCTAATGAGGATCTCTTTTCTTAATTGTTAAAAAAGAGATTTAAAAGGTGAATGTCATATAGGAAGCCTGCTTTATACAGTTTTTTCCTGAACGTCATCACTCTGCTAAACAAATAATTCCCTCAACACTGTCAAACTATTTAGTAAATCTATATGACTGTAACCTTGTTGCTTGTATCCTTACAATTTATATTGATATTGATTGTTTCCTGATTGCTTATTTGTACCCTATGACTATCATCAGGGGTGGGTTCTACTTACCTTTACTATCGGTTTGCAGCGGGCCCAGGTAAGCACGCTCGCTTCGCAGAAGCATTTTGATGACATCGGGGTCGGTGGGTGGAGCCTCCTGCCAGTTTTACTACCAGTTCTATAGAACCGGTGCGAACCCACCACTGACTATCATTAAGTGTTGTACCTTATGATTCTTGATGAATGTATTTTTTCTTTTATGTACACTGAGAGCATATGCACCAAAACAAATTCCTTGTGTGTCCAATCACACTTGGCCAATAAAATTCTATTCTGTTCTGTTCTGTTCTGTTCTGTTCTGTTCTGTTCTATTATTCTATTCTATTCTATTCTATTCTATTCTATTCTATTCTATTCTATTCTATTCTATTCTATTCTATTCTATTCTATTCTTATATATAGCTGCCATTTAATCATTCTCGGCTGACAAGAACTTACCAAATGATCCTGCTGTTTTCAATTTGAACAGTGAGAACAGCAACAGATGCTGCAGCACTCTGAAAACTACAAAGTTTTACCTTTACACCTCCTAAAAATACATATATAAAATATCTTTCAGAAGATGGGAAAGCTTGTTTTCAGATTAAAATGTGGGACTATAAATAAGCATAGGGTTTTATTTACCAACCAGAGCACCAGAGAAGTTAACAGTGCTGATAATTTTCATTAAGGTCAATGCACTGTTGATTTTAGATACTGTTCCCAGACAGGAGACAAACTTTTCTCTAAATTCTGGATTGTTTTGCTTCCATAAAGCTACTATCTCCAATCCTCCTGCTTCTGAGAAAAAGCAGCCATTTGAAAGTAGGGAATTAGTGCATAGAAAACAGTCTTAGCCTCTGCTACATGACAGGTCTATCTAGTCCAGGACTCATCATAATATGCAGTTGCTCTCTAGGGTTTCAATTGCCTTTCGTAGCCCTGCTTGGAAATGCTGTGGATTAAAACTGGAACGTTTTACAAATGGTTGAGTATTTTGCATCATCAAATGTTATTAACACTATCTAATATTACATTACCTGAAGTAAGATATAAATATTGTATACATTTTACTTAGGTATAATTCCCATTGGAACTTGCTTCTTAACAGAGGTACACAGATTCATTTAGTCTGACTATGGCTGTATTGTGCCCTGCCTAGGTAAATATATAAGAAAACTTTTAACTAACTTTCATGTCCCTGTAAATGTTGAAGTAAGGAGATTTAGCACTGCTATATCAAGGACATTTCTAGGACATTTGCATACACATGGGATTGGCAATAGAAAGGAAGCACTTTTACAAATATTTTGTATTATCCTAGTAAAATTGAGATGGGAGTACCATAGTGCTTTAAAATAATTAATTAGCAAAGTGATGAAGCTAAATGGATTTTAAAATCCTGAGTTCTGTTACAAATTTGAAGTCAACGTAGTACAGTTTCTTTCATAAATATTTTATGGCTAAGGACTTTAATAATTTCCAAACATATAATTTTTACCATTGCATACCATCATCTGACATGTCGGAGGGGCAGAAGAGTCTGAATATAAACTCTTGTATCACCCGAATGATCAACATTTATAGGACATAAATCAGCAGCTAGACCCAATGGAGTCGAATCCGGTCATAGATTAGAGTTTATTTATTTATTTACAGGACTTATGTGGTTGCCTATCTCATACAATGACTCTAGGTAAGTCACAACAATCCATAAGATGTAGTTAAAAACAAAGATACACTCCTCCATCAATGGCAGACTAAATGTCTCAACAGATCAACCCTATCTTACTACAATGGCTTGGGGAAAATCCAGGTCTTGGACAGTCCTCCAGAAAGCTAAAAGGGAAGAGATCCCTCAGATCTCAAGTGGGAGGCTGTTCAAAGGGCTGGAGCAACTACTGAGAAAGTGCAGCTCCAAGGTCCCATCAAGTGGCATCAAGTGGAAATATTTAAGGGAGGGGATCTGGATTGTACCCATCTATCTAACCTAGTAGATCAGGCCTCAGGGAGATACCCTCAGGAAGAGGTGGTCCCACAAATAAACTAGCCCTGTTCCATGTAGGACTTTAAAAATGATAACCAGCACTTGAATTGCACCCAGAAAGCAACTAGAAATCAGGGCAGCTCATGCAGAGGTTACTTGGGTGAACTATGGGACACTCAAAAGTCTGCATGCTGCTGAATTCTGGATCAGCTGGTCCAAAGATAATCAGATTATGTTTGGATTTTTGTGTGCTTTTGTGAGATTTCCAAAGTAATAATATTGGAGACTGATTTTGGGGTTTCTTTTGGCAAGATCCAATCTGGGATGATCATTGGGACCGGAGATTTAATCTTCTGAGCTGATTTTTTTTATTCCATTCCAAAGGTTCTAGAAGCAAAAGGAAGCCAAGGATATGACAGTGGTTGTACATGATAAGCTTAGTGCAGGCCCAAACACAGCTTGTCAGGCTGTGGGAAAAGGTAGAATATCAGAATGGCCACAATGAGACATGGCCAAAAAAAGAAAAGAAAAGAAGTTATAAAAACCATGATTGCAGATATTTGTGGTTATCTTGAAGTTATAAGGATGTCCTATTTCTCAAGAATGTTTCTTTGATTCAGTGGTCAAAAAACACAGAGTTGACAGAGTTGAAACAATAATGAAGAACTAGACTTATCCATCACTTACCCCATCACTTACCCAATTAGCCATGAATTAGCCATGTAAGTGCAGAAATTCACCAAATCCAAGAGAAAATTTTTCTGGTAATACTTTTGTATGCTGTTTATCTGAAGCATTTAAAGCAATGCATATAATAAGTAGATTTATTTTAAACAAATGTTATATTAGCTTCTTTTAGAACCTACAACTTGTCCAGACACATACACATAGTCTCAACTTTCTTTCACCTTTTTTTTATTCTTTCCCCTCTGTAGAATTGATTTTCTTTTTGAAAACAATTTTATATTTCCATAGTTTAATTTCAGTTGGAGAGGAAATATAATGAAAGTCCTTTTACACAAAGTTGCTGTTTTTCAGCTGGTGTCCATAATGCAGGCATGGTGATCTCTGTTTGAAAGATGAAAATAATGTGCTTATTCCGAGTTGGATAAAAAAACTGTGGTTGTTTTCTCCTACTTTTGGGTGCATATGGTATTTATAGTTTACTGTGTAAACTTTTTTTTAGAATGAGGCACTAAATCACAGCCTGATTCTTAATGTCCTATGTTTATCAGCAACTTCACTCTCCCATTTTGGAACAGTAATACCAAGTAGAGAAAGCTGCACAGTTCACTGTCATTTGCTAATTCATTTTTTAAAAAGTAGGGATATGAAAATCTGCTTGGTGAGCAAAGGAGCCCACTAATGCCCCTTGAGAAATATAATCTTCTCTTTGTTTTTTCAGAATGAGTTAAATAAATGCAATGCAGTTGAACTATAACTCCCAGAATTCTCAGGCCCACAGGTGACACAGCACCAGCTTTCCTTTCCTTTTCTGGATCTGTCCAGCACTGTCTCAAGTTTGATCAATCCATTCTGCACGCTTTGGTGCTTTACACGTGTGAATGTCTACGGTGTCTTCACATTCTTTGCAGCGAACAGCGCAACACCAATGGAATTTGCACTCGCATTTAGTGACTCGAGTTACTTGAGTGGTATCATAACCTCTTCCACAACACATGACTTCACATCCATCAGTCCCACGTGATACCTTGTTGCACACACGACCAGCAGTTCCTAGGGAACCTGTAAGAAAAGAAGAATAGTTTTATTTAAGCTTGCATGATGTTGGCATTGTATCTTGGAAAACATAGAATTGAAGTCACTTTTTGAAATGAATTATAGAATTCATTTTTAACAGAATTTATAAGAGCAAATTCTAGAAATTCACTTAAATTAGTAGTAATACAGTAAGGTTTGAAATCTGGTCTGAATAAATTCTAACAACTAGCTATAATTTCTAACAACAATTCTACATATATTAGTTCAAGTATAATTTCCTGCCTCAAGCAAGGTGTGAAATAAGAAATATTGGTGAGTAATATTGATAAGGTGATCAGGTAGCAGGAGCAACAAAGTGATATCAATCCTACTCTTTCAACCACATTTTGCAAGTATAATTTTCCTCATAATTCAACATTAACTGGAAGTAAAATTGAAATTCCTGGATATACACACTTTACACTTCAGATGCTAATTTCCATGGGAATTTTTATCCAGATAGGAATTCTGAAGACAAGGAATCCTTCCTACAATGTTAGTGTCTAAGTCACTCTTTCCTATACAGGATACTCTCCAGATTTGCAAATCTTAATTCCAAGAATTTCCCAACCATCATGATCAATGTTGAAAATTTGAGGAGTTGAAATCTGCCCTTCTGAAAGGTAGGTGCTAAAACTGGGGAAGACCAATGTAGGCAAAATTTCAAAATATTGTTTTACCTGCAGATTTATCCATCAAACAATAATCAGGAGAGTTCTCAAAATATACAAGGTCAGTTTTTGTGGGCTTCCGGAAGTTCTTATTGGCCACAGTAAATCCGGAGCCATCTTGGTTCATAGTCACTTGGATGGCACCATTGTATTTTTTCCGAAGATAATCTCCTGTTTTGCGGAAGTCTGACATTGCCAGCCAGCAAGTCCTTAAGGTACAGGAACCACTGACACCATGACATTTGCATTCTAGTTTCAGGAAACGCTTCACAGCCTGAAATAGAAGGTTTAGTAGCAGATCTAAGATGGAACAGACAAAAATTGCTTTAATAATACTCAGAATGGCTGCTTCTGTTCCTGAGACATACTGCTTTATTTCTTAGACTGGGTATTTCTCTTTAGATTTTGCTAGTTACAATAATGACCTTCCAGACCTATGAACAATACTTATACCTGCTCTTTTGTGATACATCTCTATCTGGTCAATTAGAGCTGAGAATCATTCTAACTGAAAGATAATAGAAATGACCTTCAGTGACCTCATAAAAATGCTTTTGCTGGAAGGTATATCTATCAGTTTTTGAATGAAGGGAGGGTTGTTTTTTTTTTCTAATAATGCCAGGATGCAATAAATATCTTATGTTGGTTTTACTGAAGTTGCAGCTATTGGTGCTAAAAACTTCCTATTTGGTGTGTGTGTGTGTGTGTGTGTGTGTGTGTGTGTGTGTGTGTGTGTGAGAGAGAGAGAGAGAGAGAGAGAAGTAGAAAGCTCAGTTATTGCCTTGAGCTGCCTCTTTCTCTTTCCCTGTTTTATTTATACTCTATTTAGACATTGATAGTACCAGACCTTTTAATCAAAGTGAACTGAAAATTATTTGAATGTGGCTAAGAATCTGAAGAGGGTTCAAAGTTCCAGTTCCTAACAAATTCCTAGGCCTTTGTGAAGTTGGTGATGCTGTTATTTTTTCTTGTCTGAAAAGTTCATAGGTTGATTATAAATGCTACAAAGCATAAGATAATGAATGGTTATATAGGAATGGTTAGGAATGGTTATATAATCCCTAAGACCGTGTTGGACAATTTGTTTCTCTCTCTAAGTATAATATTATCTCCACATTATGCTAGTGGGCTTTAGCAGTAAAACTATTTTGAAGGCTTTCTTTTGTTTCATTTTCACCTTTCCAACAAATTTCAGTGTTCCAATTATTCATTTTAAATACCATACCCATCAAAGTAAAAAAGTTCAGCCCAATCCATCTGCCAATGATGCTGACATGCTATCAGTCAACCCTTTGGTGGCTTTTAGATGTCCCCCTCTCTCTATATTCATTCATTCATTCATTCATTCATTCATTCATTCATTCATTCATTCATATTGTAGCCCTATGCTACAAAAAATTGCCTCCCTCCAATCTAAGGTTGGTATTACTAACCGTTCTGCCACAACGATTGTTATGCAGATTCATTAAAGCACGGGCATCTTTCACTGTTTTCTCTTTGGCATCCACAAAGTCCTTTGCAAACTTTATGCCGTAATTGATGTTGTCACTGCAGCCCCCCCAGTCAAAGTCCCCTCTGTCATCCTTTGAGCGGCCCCGCTTATGGGGATCACAGTTGCAGGCTTTCAGCTCCCCTTGGCTGCAGGCCCGGGTGATGGCATATACAACTCCAGCTGAGGAGATTGCATAGACGAAGGCTGCTTCTCTACTACCTGCCATATAGATAAAAGAAATAAACATGAGTGAGTCAGGAAACAGTAGAGGGTTTTGAAAAGAGCACATAAGTTTGTATATTGTGTGGGTGTCCTATGGTATTTTTAATCCATCTAATAACTGAATGGTTAGAAATCAATGGAACTATGGACACAAGATGCTTTATCTTTACATGCCAAAATAAGAGATGCGTTAAGAGAATAACAGATGATTCAATTGGAAGATATACATATCTCAACAATAGAATACTTATTTGAAAAGTAAAGCCGTTCCCATCAATATTCAGTTCCTAACAGCTCCAAGTAAAAGGCTCCTAAGTAGCAAGAAGAGAAAAAGATAACCTGCTGACTACAGAAAACATTTTTGAGGAACCTGAAAATATGACAGAACAGTAGCACTACAGATACTCATTTTATCAGCTAAAGCATAATTGAGATAATGCTTGTATTGTTAATGAACTATCAGTTCATATTCTAGGAGAAGCTAAACTAAGGCATGCCAAGCAAATATTCTAAAATATTTTCTGGATCAAAAGAGGGATTAGCAGTGGATAAACCAAAGAAGAATTAAACCCAACTTATTGAAAAAAGTTCATCTGGTCAGAATGCCAGAAAAATGGCATTCTGGAAAATGGAAAAACTTTTTAGTTATGTACTATTTTACAAAAGAAGCGTGACTTTCAAGGGTGTGAGTCCTAATTAGGAAAAAATGTTCTGGCTAAGCAATTAAAGATTTTATTTTCATTTCTTTTTTATGCATTTGGAACTGATAATTTAGGTATTTCAGTTTGTACTGCTTCTATATCAGTGCCTTTCAGGTAGGTTGGGAGGACTTTATAAATTCCAGAATTATAATCTGATCACAGCTGAAGGACATTATATGGAAGAAAACCATCATGGGCTCTGTATTACAGTTTTCAAGGGTTTCCCTTGCTTATTTATTATCACTGTAGAAGCTGCTTGATTTTAGACTATATTCTTTGAATGTGAGCAACTATTATACCAACTCATTCACATCTGGGACTGGGGGGAAAGCAGATGTTTGCTTAGAAAAACAGAGAAGTACTTCTTCCAGAAACATTAAATTGTTTTGCAAATCCCCATCTAGCAAAAGACTACTGCTTTATATTTTATAGATCTTCTCTAAATTTGCACCTCATTTTACAATGGTTATAAAAGCAACAGCAAATAAAAAACATACCACTGTATTCTGCAAGAACAGCCTATATATAATCAGTTTCATTCAAAGCACAGAGTGCATTTTATTTGCCTTAAGGGAAACCAAGGAGATCTCTTTTCAGAAGATTTGGCTATTTCCCCATTTCTATTACCCATGCATCCCAAATCCAGGTAGTTAATTTGGATGTTATGTCCACATAAATTCAAGCTGCCAAATTTGAGAAGCACCGTCTTACAGAGTATTCCCTGACCTTTAATACCTGCACACTCTAACTAAACCAAAATTCTATGACTAGTAGCAGAAACACCAGAAAAAAATGTTAACATATATCCTTTTAAAGGCAGATCACTTATTAAAACATGTCTATGCTGTTTTGTATTATAGAAGATCCAGAAGTGGTTTGCAATAATTTCAAAACAAAATAAAACTAAATTAAAAACAAGTTGAAAAAAACCTGTTATTAAAATAAAAACTTTAGTGGGAATTATGGCTGGAGAAGAACTACAATAAAAAGCTTTTGAAAGAGATACAAAACATGTTGGCATTGAAGGGGAGAACATATCCGACATTACCATGGAAAAGCTCATTTGGCGTTGCTGCCAGGATCCTAATTTCTTAAGAGACTTACATACTTGGAAAAATTTTAAGGTCCCAGAACTGTTTAGAGCTTTATGTACTAATAGCAATACTTTTTATGTGACTCAATAGCAGATTGAGAGCCAGTGTAGCACAGTGTAGCACAGATGAAATATGGATACCATTACAACTGCAGGAATCCAGTATCTGTATTCTATATTATTGTAGGTTCCAGATAAGTCTGAAGACCTATTGCAATCTTTAGATTACCAACGTATGACTAATCATAGCAAATTATTTCTGTCCAGAAATGGTGCAGTTGATGTATAGCCTAAACTATACCCTAAAGTGTGAAACTCCAAGCATAGCAGGGAGTTCCTTCGTTTTTGGATTTAGAAACTTTCCTGTTTCCATCTTTTTTTATGCTTTCCACCCCCAACCTGGAGTGTTCAAGTTGTCTTGATCTACAGATATTTAGCTTGGTGTCATCAATGCAAGTGATGTCTTGCTTCAGATACCCCAGTGACCACACCCAGGTGTGTCTTAGTACTAAGCCTGTTAGAAAATAGTTCTGTGGTTTTCCAATGTTATTCTCTCAGATAGAGGCAGAAGCTGTTTCAGAGCTGCCATGATCAATGGCATTAAAAACTGCTGAACTATCAAGTAAGCATTCCCTCTTCATCAGGACAGTCAAGTTGGATTCTGTCCTATAACTCAGACTGGAGGAGATAATCATTATTTCCCCCAAATGCTTAGAGTTGAATCAGCTGCTTCTTAATCACCTTGTGTCAAATGGGGAAATTTTCATTCATGCAAGTGTGATATAGATAGCAATAAGAAAAAGGTTGGTTCAGTTTAAAGCTAGAAATAAAGAGCTCTTGTGGATCCCAACTCCAAGCTATTTTGTAAAGAATCTAGATGACGACAATCAAAGCTCCAAAACTAATGCGTTCAGATGTAAAGAGACTGCTGTATCTAGATTTCCTTTCTATTAAATAATCTTTTCACAGTGTGAATAGATCATCACCCCACATTATTTGAGCATGCAAATGATGGCATAAAATTTATTTATTTATTTATTTATTTATTTATTTATTTATTTATTTATTTATTTATTTTTCACAGTTCTTAACTGCCCATCTCCCTCAGAGAGGGGGTCTGGTCAGCGTACAATTTAATCAATAAAATTAAGCATTAAAAACAGAATAATTTTTTAAATTTAAAAAAATATAAAGCAACATTATAAAAGTACAAAAGATGGAGAGTTTCAAGATGGGGAGGTTAGCAGTTGTTAATACAGATGAGGGACGGGGGTTCACATGGGGACAACCAGCTGCATGGTTTTGTGAACCCCTGTGTCCCCCATATAAGGCTATACAAACAGGTTTTGGCCCCTTTGCAGAAAGCCAAGAGATTGGGAGCATGTTTTCATAGAAAAGTTGACTATATAAGAACATATCTATGGAGATTCTCGGTTATCTAGATTATAGTTGTCTCAAAGGTGTTGTTTTTTTTTAAAAGGCAATTTTTTGAGGAAGAAAACGTTTTGCTTCTCATCCAAGAAGCTTCATCAGTTGAAAACATACAGACATAAAAACACATGTACACACTTTTTCAGGCATGAAAGCTGTGAAAGAAGGATAATTCAAAGTACGCCCATTCATTGTGTTTTGAAATGAAATATATATTTTTTCTGCACATGAGCCCAATGTGTACTCTAAAACAAAATTAAGAAAACTATGCTAACACCAACTGAATTCCTCCATCACAGGGAGGTCAGTTCTGTGGCATGGGCTTTTCCTCAAAAAAGTGGGGCTGTTTCCTGCTAAAAGAAGATTACAGTTCTTCATAGAAGTAAATCTCACTGAATATAACAGGACTTGTGAGTAAACAGATGAGTAAACAGGCATAATTTCTCATTGCAACATTTCCATCATACTGCAAACTTTTCCTTAAAGTTCAAAAGCTCTCCACATGATAAACATAATCAGCTCCAGTGAATTTATTTTCCATTTAAACCTGCAAATGTCCCTTAAAAACTGTTAACTGAGTTTTGTAGTTTGCTGATTTTAATTTATGGTTGTTCAAACATGGCTAAAGAGTTTGGAATGAATAATCAGTTATTCCTAAACTGTTCTATAATAGCTTTGATTTAGAGAGGCTTTCTCCTCTAATGATCAGCAGCTTTGAGGGCTTTCTAAAAGAGTTAAAAAGCCTGGTTCAGAAAGCAATCTTATTGTCAGTGGGAAAAAGAAGAAGGAGGAGGAGAAGGAAGAGGAGAAAGAGAAGAAGGAGTAGAAAAAGAAAAAGAAGAAATAATGACCAATTTTTACCGTTTTACTACAACACTTGATATAAAATTTTTGTGACCAAGAACAAAATTAAAGCAATGCAGCATCCCTACATTTTTATCTCAGATGTAAAATCAAAGCAACATTGAAGAAAGGGAATGATCTATTTATTTATTTAGCATATAGCAGAAGAAAGAGAAAGATAATACAGAGAGGGGGGGGAAGAGAGAGAATGGAATGGAATGGAATGGAATGGAATGGAATGGAATGGAATGGAAGAGAAGAGAAGAGAAGAGAAGAGAAGAGAAGAGAAGAGAAGAGAAGAGAAGAGAAGGAAGTTCATACTGCCTTATCATCACTGAACTGATAAAGGGACTTACTTCGGAGCATGACTCTGCCAAAAACGGTGTGGTCTCTGTCCAAAGTGCTGCAGTTCCAACGATGGTGACGGAATTGGTGCTGGCATTCCCGAATCCACTCTTTAGCTCCTTCCCCTATGGATTGCATGATATCTGGGTAACTCTGGCACAAGTGCCGCTGTTTATTGACTAGTCCTGGTATGTTATCACAGATCACCCTTGTGCCTAGGGCCCCAATATACCTGTAGGGATATAAATAATGTCTGTGAAATAATCAGACATTATCAATCTTTCATAAAAAAGTTAATGCTATTAATGAATGAAATGAATAGGTAGCTACTGGTGTCCTTAATACTTTCATTTTCTTTCTCAGACTGGCACAAACTGCTCACAGTTTCCTGTCCATACACATTTCTTTAGTGCTATGTATCCCACTTTTTACACTGCATAAAGATAAATGTAAATATACCAACAGTGAAGGAGTTAAAATTTTATGAATATAGTTGCATGTAGGAGATACATTTATCTAGTTAACAAGACAATAATCAACAACAAAATGTTTTGCAATGGCAATACAGAAAACTTTAAAAAGGTAATATTTTGAAATCCATATGTAGGCTTATATCTTTAAATGTTTGTTAACAAGATTATTCAATATTATGTCAATCTTTAATTCCACATATATTATCATTGCCAGGCTGAAATGATAGTAATTTCATAAAGTAGATCCATAAATGGTTGGCTAACCAAATGCTCAGAAATTCAATATTCAAGACTCTATATCAGGATGCAGAGCATTAATAGTGGGTTTCTGCAGGGCAATATTAGTCAATAGTTTTAATAACAATAACAACAACAACAACTTTATTGTCATTGTATGTGTATACACAGTATACCCATACAACGAAATTCACTTAACACTCAAAGACCAGGTCTAACACACATAACAATCCCCAAACACACTGGAATGACCTGGAAGCTGGGATTAATGGGCTGCTTTTCAAACTTGCAACAATTCTACAACAAGATGGAGGAAATTGGTTTTCTGCACATTCCACCAGGTTGGTCCAGATGATCCTTGTGGTCCCTTCTCATTCTATAATTCTGTGATTTAAAATTGAGGAAACAAAGCTGAAGGAGAGTGGGGGAAATGTATCTGATGCTTAAGGAATTATGGCTTTACACTTGGATATAATTTTGTGGCAATGGCAGCCAGGCGCTTTCAGATATAATCACTATATTAAGTTGCACCAAGAAGTCTTCTGAAGTATAATGACAAGAAGAAACATGCAAATAATTATTGGGCTCATTTTTAATGAAATACTTAAATCTCTTGATATTTGAAAAGGAAATGAGATCAATGATCTCAGACTTCTCTTCCCAGAGAATATATGGGTTTTGCCCTTAATAAGCAAATGCATTGTATTATGTTATGATGTTATGTCATGCCATTTCTATGATAAATTAATATTATAAAATCTAACTCGAGTACTCTGGATTTCTTAAAGAACAATATTTTATTTTAGTGCATATTTAGTTCAAGAGCATTCTATTATCAACCTAGCTTCAGCTCTCATTTCTTTCTAGCTGACATTGTAGCAAGCAGAACAGGCAAATATTTTCATATGCTAAGTATCTGAATGATTCTTCCAACAGGAACAGTCTTTGTGTGTGTCAAGATGTGTTCTGACTTGGATTTGAATTGCTAACATGTTAATCTTATACCAAATGGCTAAAGAACAGGACATTGCTAACAACTTTGTACAGCTTAGACACAAAATTATCCCAGGTCAACATCCCAGGTCAAAACAACATGTATCTCTTTGATAAATTGATGTTGGAAGCCAAACAAGTTAAAGAGCAACATTTCCCAACAGTATTAAAAAGCAAAGTATCCAGGTGCAGCTGGACTATATAACGGTGGGTTTTAAAAGGCACCATTTTTTTCTGTGTGTTTAAGATTCTGCAAATTCATTGTAGGTGTCAGCTTAAGAAATTCCAAAGTTATGAGCCAACCATTCTAATATTAGATTTTAAAAACCTTTATATATTTAATGGGTTACTTCAATTTGGGTCTTCAGGCTGCAATGCTGAAAACTTGGCTTTTATTTTACAGAAAAATAAGATGAAATGTTCTTACATGTGACAGAAATGAGACCACCAAATAAAATATAATAAATCTCACAATGTATTATCACATTGCTCCATAAGTTTGTCTTCACATGGAAAGAGCTTGTTTATGACTACACTGTTTCTCCAAAAATAAGATCCTGTCTTATATTTTTTTGAACCCCCAAAAAAGTGCTTGGCCTTATTTTCAAGGAGGTCTTATTATTTTGGGGCATGTGGAGCAAGATGGGGCTCCTCTTGCTGTCTTACCTGATTTCCAGCTCTGCATTTAAATATTTTGGGAGGGCTTATTTTCGGGGGGAGGGGGCTTATTTTAGTGCATGCGTTCAAAAGCCCAATGGTCTTATTATCAGGGGATGTTTTATTTTCAGGGAAACAGGGTAGTTATTTACATAACCCATTGCTTCATGGCATTGCATGGAGATTGCCTCAATGTTTCTTGCTAACAGTTCTTTATATTTCAATTAGGGTTTGAAACTCAACCAAGAGTTTCTTGTCATTTTGCCAGATACGTTTTTCATTCAGGGACTGTCATCTTACCAGTAGTTCTTAAGAAATTGTGACACATTGTACTTCCTGTATAACACAGTCTTAGGAAAGGTTATTTGGCACTAAAAACCTGAGTTCATTAGGACTTTTTCCCAAGATATTGTACATATGATTCCTGCTTTAGATTAATAAATCTTCATTGTTTTGTTTGTTATTAGTATTCTCTGGATTCCATATAAAAAATGTGAATGTCTCCCACTGAGGATTTAAAATTGTTAATAAATAAATAAATAAATAAATAAATAAAAATAAACAGTTGTATGTTCAAGTATGGAATTCTCCACATCGATCAAACAACTTCTTTTTTTCACACCAGAAGGAAGTTAATATTGTTATAATAATTTTTTTATGTGTAAGGCTATCATACTACGTACTGTATCTCTAAAGCTGTATTTCTGGCTGAAAAAAATGAACGTCTTGGGTAGAGTTCAAATGTTTTGAGTTCCTAGACTGGAATTAAGACCCTCCCTTTAATGATAATAATAATAAAAAAAGGGCTATATGGCTGTATTTCTCTGTCTCCCACACCATCTGCTATCATTTGTATTAGTCATGAAGATAGCTCACATCCTTATGAAAGATCTGCAAATACAAAGTCCCATTATTTTTCTCCTCATAAAATATTTTGTTTCAACTCTGGTGAGAAGTTGAGGTCATCTAGGGCTGGCATGGTGGATGATAAACATTGCTCCCCACATCCTTGGCAAATGAGATCTGTTTTGGCTAACATACATTATTTTCACAAGCTGGCTCATCAACTGTTCAAGAGAAAAGACAGGATACAAGAGGCATTAGAAGGCGGTCTGTTGTCAAATGTGAAGAAGCAGAACATGGAGTATGTAGGAAAAAATAAGCAACCATGGAATTCAGTCATGACCTTAGGAAAAGAAGCTTAATGCAACAACTCTATCGTTTCTTTGGACCAGGCTCTATTGTATAATGGTAGAAACAGACTATTTTCTTGATTCTTTGGCTTCAGGTCAGTAAAAGCTAGACTGTCCCTATTCTACCATGGACTTAGTGGGAACTTACCACAAAGTGTGTATGAAACCACTTGAAAAGAAGATTGCCTATGATATCCTGCCAAGTGATATGGAGAATTTTGTTATTCCCTAGCTTCTGGACTTCCTGTAAATGTGTGGTAAAATTCTCACCACTTAGAAGAATGTCAGAGCCACACATGGTTACATATGTGCTATGGAAAACTATTCTGGTGAATGGAAGTTTTCAGCCAACTGCAGCCATGGCTAAATTGCAGAACCCTTTATTCTTCTATGACCTAGAAAAACCACGATGGAACTCCTGGTTCCATCCATAAACCAGAATAAAGATTAGTTTTAATTTAAATAACAGAGAAGAACTCTGGAAATTATGAGGCAATATTCTGCAAATAAAAGTGTTCTTCCTCTAATATTTCTAATTATTTTATAATTAATTAAGTATGGGATAAGTTGCTTCTGTACTGATACTTTTTTCCCAGCTATTCACTCTGCATTCAGGAATCCAGATGATATCATTAAGGCATACCAAACTATTGACTTGAAATGATGGAAACAGCAATCTTTCCAATAGTTTTCTAATGCAAAGAAAATAGATCTAGAAACTTGTAAAGTTCAAAACTGTCCCCTAGAAAATAAGCTCAAACCCCAAAAACACAACTGGCAGTGCAGCTCCTACAGTTATTTATTTATTATTTGCTTCATTTTGCTTTATCTGTTTAGGTTTCTGTATTTTTAGAATTGTGTTTAAATACTGTTTAAATAATTTTATAATATAGTAAAAGTAAGGTGCATATACATGTAGCCATTTTGATTTTTTCTTTGATTTTTAACCCACGGGAGAGAAACTATATTTTTAACTCTGCAGGCTATTTGTCCTTTCCTTTGAAAATGAAAATGAAAATAAATCCATTCTTCTGGCACTAAAGGATGCCTATTCTTCTTTTTCTGTACAGTTATCAAACTAATTAAACAAGAGTTTGGCTTATGTCAGCTCCCTTTGCTCCATGCTGCCTATAGATTTAGAAGCCTATAGGAAAAAATGCATAGTTTAACCCAATATTTTTCAACTTTGGCAACCTTAAGATGTGTGGACTTGCAGAACTCCCGAGACAGCAGGGCATGATGGGACCTGTTTGTCATTTGGCAATTCTGAATTTTCTCTTGTCTCTAAACACTTTTTTCTCCTATCCAAGATTTCTTGATTTCTCTCATAATAGTCTATTTACCAGTGTCTCCTCAGACTCTTATGTCCCTTCCATTTCTCATGTCAGATGTAAATGCCTTATTCTCCAATGTGTAAATAATGTATATATGGAACATCAGAGGTTAACTTATTCTTTGGACTTTAATGTATTCATAACTTACCACTCCCATTCCTAGCTCCACCCCTTGTATATATAAGGAGCCACCCTCACCATTCTCGTCGCTTCTACCTTGAATATTCAGTGAATATAGAATGCCTATCATAATTAAAAAGAAATATATTTAAAGCTTTAACTTCTATTATCTTTATTGAGTCTGATCCTGAAAATATTGTAACAAGCTGGTAGCAGAGGATGGTT